AAAAACTTATTATCATGATTCTGGTAAAGTAAGTTAAAAAAGTTCGATGAAATAAAAAGGTCCATTATCTTACCTGGTCTTGTTGAATCCATTCAAAGTCTGGACGAATTCATGGTGCAACATATCAGCATATTTGTTGATACGTTGTTTGTAAGATTCCAAACCCATTTCATATCGTTGGTTATGTTTTGCAACTTTGTGTTTGTTTTCCATGAAGATCTTGAGACGGAACTTTTCTTCGGTTTCACTTTCATAGCGCTTCTTGTGGGCCAACTATAAAAGAAAAGAATATAAATATTTTGAATTTGAAAACTAGGTATCAAGTTAACTAGAATCAAGTAATAATTTAGTTGGATTCATTTGGAATGGTTTTAGTATGTAATTATTTTGTAATATTTTAAATTCCAGTTTTAATCAATTTGGAATTAAATAGAATCTAACGAACCTAATAAGCATCTACCAAGAATCTAACAAGAACTTCGAACTTAAATATAAGAATCGAGCCAGTGAAATCAACAAGATCCTGGTAAAAATCTTATTTGATAATATTATATGATTCTTATTGGATTCTGGTAAACTTCTTACTAGGTTCTTACCAGATTTTGTTTTTAAAATTATTTGAAATATATTACTTGAAATCGTATTCAGATCGATTATTTTCAAAGTTTAATATCAAGCTGTCCAAGACGTTAATGGAACTAAAACTTGTGGTTAGAACAACAAGCTTATGTATTAAAATAATTACTTAAAATAAAAAAAAACATTGCATGTGATAAAATTACATAAGATATAATTACATCTAAGATGTATCAGGTAGTATAATTTTCTTGGTTGGATTTAAACTAAGTTATTTGTTCATAATAACTGTATGACGCAATTTGAAGTTGTATTTCTAAATAAATTAACGATATCAAATATCTGCGCATTTTGCTAATTAGTTGCGATTACAAATGACCGATTTTTGCAAAAGAAAAAAAATACGAACGTAAACAGAAATATTGGAGCACGTGTATTGATAATAAACATTCAACAAACACTTGATTTAAAATTGATTCAAAATAAATATGAAAGAATTTAGCAAAAAATAATAATCGATTCATAAAATATGAAGGTAACCTCGTACTCAGAAATATTTTATCATCTCTAAAAAATGCAAAATTTGTATCAGATTTCATATTCTTAGAAATGCAGTTAACATTTGTAATGAAATTAGTAAAAATAGAAAGTGGATATAAATCTAGTCAACACAATTAATTATTCTACAAATTTATTTCGTGAAGGTATATAATATTCTAAAAAAATTTAATTTGTATATTTGGCTCAAGAAGTTAGAAACTTTATAGTCCTGTTTGAATTATCCAGTATGTTGACCCAATTTACCAAAATATTTATCACATATCCATGTCAACAAAAAACATGTGTTCCATCTGTTTTATCTCAATGACCTCAAAAAAAAAAAAAAGTCGAAATCAATTCGCAGCTCGTGTCAAAAAAAATAATCACAAAAAAAGATAATATTATTGAGTGATTTTTCGTCATTTTGTTTATTTGTAATAAATTGCGAAGATTCACGTTCGTCAGAGATAAGGGATAATTAATATAAGTATAATGATATAAAATTGTATTTGGATTTCGAAATAATTAGGCGATTTTCTGCAAATATTTTGGACTAGCAGAATTCCAAGGAAAGATAAAAGCAATGTTTTTCTTAAAATTTGGAAATGTTAATTCAACTTGGTTGATTGTTTTCCTGTACAATTTAATTGGCAAATAAATGTTTACAAATAAAATAACTCTAAATCACCAATGGATGGCCGAAAATGACTATTGCACAAATGCACATTGAATCCGATTTTTTGTAAAGATTTTACTAAAAAAAAAATAAGTTTTACTAGCTAACTGTTAGGCTCTTTAGCAAAAGATAAGAATTTTTAAATTCACTCTAATTGAAGCTATTTTAAGAGAAAGCTATTCAAAAAAATTTGGTGTAAAGATTGCAATTAAGAAACTTCCATATTAAGTGGACCCTTAACAAAACTTGACGATCGCATTCAAAAACTCCTCATATTTATTTACTGGAAAATAAAGGTTGCTAAAATCAAGTATACTTAAAATAGGTATATTCAACATTGTATTTCTTATCCCTGGGTCAAACAAGAGGTCACAACAATTCAGTTATCTTTAAATTTCCGCATATCTCGGTGTCCCTTTACAAAGAAAAGCAGTTGAACCAGAATCACAATCTGAGGATAATTATTTGTATAAGATAGTACTATAATAATGAAGTCGTTTATTTGATTTCCTTATTTATCGGTCATTTTCTTTTCACTTGGTAATGTCTTATCATTTTAGAACAAAGTTCAAACGAATTCAGAGATCTAACTACGCATTTGTGACATGTAATTATATCAAATGAGTGCAAACGAGTCGTTAAACTATGATATGGAGCAAATTATAAAAGTTAGATAAAACAAATATAAAACGAATTCATAGAAGGATACAATTCATAGAAGGCTGGTGATTTGCGATGTGCGAATATTTAAATATTTAGATCAAAAACCTCAATTTCCCTTGAAACACCAAATCAGAATATTCTTGTAATGCTTATCTATCTGATCTAAACTTGGTTAAAATAAAGCCAGAGAGAAAAAAATTAGCACTGTTTGTTTTCATAGTTTTTGTTATTTACCTAGTACGTTTTGGGACAATCCAAAACAAAAAATCTAAATCAAAGGCAACGTTGCTTTTAGACAACCCCGGGACACAAGGTGGAAATCCAAGATGTTCCAAAAAAAGACGTATGATCACCTTATAAATATTTACAACAGCAAGTACCATTTGCGTTTAGTTATCACAAAAATAAAATCTCAGATATTAAGATAACTCATAATTATATTATACAAGAATATACAAATTATGAAGTTCAATTATCATTGCCAAAGAGAGTTTTACCACCAATGTATATAAATGATACTTTGAATATAATAGCGCATAAATTATTACATGGAGATAAAATGTTGATCTCTGGTTCAAATATTGTAAAAATGCGTAGTACGGAATTTAGAGATAAGAAACAAAATGTCATCCATCAGCGTCAAGGATGGACGAGATTCTGCAAATATAACCAGGAAATTGCATTAGAAACAAATGACGTGGAGATAACCATTATATAGTAAAAAAATAATTATAATAGTAATGATTGATCGATTGTATCATAATAGATGGCTTAAGGAAAATACAGATATATTTAAAAAAAATAGAATTACAATTATGTACGAGAGCACTCTTCAGCAAATGCTAAATAATATTATGAAAGCTTAATTTAGTTAAAAAAAGCGGTAGTTATATGCTCATAAAAAATGATAAATTTAATTATTATTTAGATAGCAACGTGTTTCCAAGTGAAAATAGCCCTTAATCAGGCATTGGTCTAATAAAAAGTAAGCGCTATTAGATAAATTTCAATAATAAAATTATTATCAAAAATGGATGGATTAACTATAGATGGATTTGATATGGTAACCATTGGGTTACCATCTAAAAATACGATGTAAAGAAAAGTTTCAGCCCAACATGAGATAAGAGAACAAAAAAATAGTAATATGTGGCTTATTGATTCGCAGTAATCAAGAATTGCTTTCATCATTATAAACTTAGACAGATAGTATTAATAAATTTGTTTTACCTTGAATGAACTCCATTCTTCCTTCACCAAATCAAAGAAGGATACGGCGCTACTGCAGGCGACCAATGTTAAAAATAATACTAGCAACTTCATTTTGAAAATCCTGAAAAAATAACAAGAAATTATATAAAGAAATTCATTCAATTTTATGTATTCTTAATTATTCCATCAAATTCGAGCTAGATTTGATGGTGACTAAAACTAGATAAAAGAAATATTATCTCTCATACCAACTACTTTTCAGTATAATAAAAGTAAACCAGGCAATAAACAAATTGCAACTAAATCTGTTCCACAAAAAAATTGATTCAACCTGATCTATTTTTTGCCATTTAATTTAGTTCAACTTATTCAGCACAATTAAATTTAAACGCCGACTTGACAAATTGAATGCTCCCAAAACATGTTTTTTTGTAAAATATAAAATTGCATGTTTAACAATAAATTATTGTTCACACATTTTTTTAATATAAAAAATGTCACAATATACGACGACATTGAATACAATTTTATTATAAAGCAGTCGTGCAGAATAAATTATTTATATAATGCTTTTATATGTAATTATATATAAATTGTGATGTATGAAAAGGTGTGATTATATTAGTAGTGATTCGTTAGACATAAATAATTACATACATACATACATACATACATTGAACAATATAATAAAAAAAATATTTCGATTAAGGAAAATAAAGTTTATGCTTAATTTTATTATGAATTATAAAATAATTGGAATGATTTTTGATGGCCAGAATTTAAAATTTAGTATAACGATAAGTAAAACAAAAAAAACAAATGTAATTAATGATTTTATATGCAACAATAATAAATATTACAGTATATAGAAATATATAAAGTAAGTACTAGAATAAATCAAGGGAGTTCTTTTCGAATTCAAAAAACTACAAAAATTAACATTTATATTTAAAACTAAATGTAACAGAAAATGTGAAATATCAATTTGTAAATCATGTAACAATTTTTCTTTCAATCATTGAATGATAAGTTGATGAATTTAATTCAAACAGTTTTTTTTTATAGAGAAACTGTGACCTTAAAGTTAATTGAACTTTAAAATGTATGATTTAGAATATATATATTTTTATCCATTTTCTCGGTAATTTACGAGTATTTTAACACCAGTTGAATAAATATTTGTACGATTTTTTATGTATACTGGGAAATACCGATGATATGTTGCACAATTTAAATTTACATAAATTTCTTTGCATATAATCGGTTCGATAAAACAAATTGCACGTTAAACTGATTTATACTGAAAATTTCAATTTAATATGCAATTAAGTAAAATCCGTAAAAAATTGAATTTTGCATCGTTTTCCAAAATAAATACTTTTAATGTTAATATTCGACTGTAAATCTTGATGAACAAATTTAGGAATATAATTACATATTTATGATTTAATGTGAAAATTTACAGTAACTGTAGCAAAGGAAAATCGTAAAAAAAAATTTATGCAGACAAGTAATTCAGTAATAAAGTAAAATCCGTAACAAATTCAATTTTTCATCGTTTTCCACAATAAATACTTTAAAAGTTAATATTCGACTAGAAATTTTTATGAACAGGAATAGATAGGAATATAATTACATACCAAGAGACCAAATAAATATAGATGAATATAAATATCATACAAATAGCTCTCAATTTCACACTTATCATTCAAGTCTCATATAACAGTTATTTTATATTGTAAATTTATACCGATGATTCATTTTTTGTTTGATTATACAAGATAAAACTGGAGAAGGCGAGACGTGTATCACATGATTATCAATTTTCGGCGAATTGAATTCAAAACATTTATATCAGGTTGTATATGAAATAAAATATATATGAATACTCTTATGGTGAGAATGATTGCCAAAACAAAAGATAAGGAGTCTGACTTAATGTTTTAAAATTAATTTATAATTTAATTTATACAGATATTATAAGCATGTTTGAAAGATATCGATTGGTAACCGCATTGATTAAATTTTAGTGAAAACGAAAATTTTATTTTCGAAATAAACTGTTAAAGATTTTACCTAAATAGCTGAATCTCAGTTATTAAATTACGTATCGGAAAATTGCTGCAACTTGCCTTAAGGTAAATTGTCACTGACAACTTACAAATCAATAAAAAAAATAATTCATATATTTTATTCATTATTTTTATAATTCAGTCATCGTTTTGCAAATACTCATCAGTCACTTTTTCTCTGGACAGATGTTTTAGATTCCATTAAATCGTTCTCATCGTTTTTATGAATCATAAAGACTTGTAATAAGATATGAAAAATAAAAATAAAAATGATACCAGCATATGTTTATAACGCCTGCGGGCAATGATTCATATTTCTGAATAATGATAATGTATATTTTTATATTTAAAATGAATTTAGTAATTGCGAGCTGTTTTTGTGCACTGAGGGTGAAAATGTATACCTATGCAAAGTTACATATGAACCTTAAAATTTACATATTCATAAATTATTTGTTCACGAATATGAAATTTTTGTTGAGTAATTATTGTTTAGTCAGTAACTGAATTCCACATTAAAATCCACATTAAAATCCACATTTTAAATAAAAAAATTATATAAGATCACAATTAGCACATTACCTTTTTAGGCTATCTATCAAAAAAAAATATTGAATATGAAATTAATCTAATTTATGAGGTATTTATTAGTTGCGTTATTGATTTATGAATATATGAACTTTTTTTCAATTACAACATTATGGGGTGAAAATTTAAGGCTGTGGGTGTTTTTAATTTCAGGGCTTTAAGACGATCTAATTATATTTTGAATCATGAAAATCTAATTACAATTCTTATTATCTCATTATTATTATTATCTACTAAAGGAATGTAACATTTTCTACACAGGCGTTTGTTTGCAATAAAACAATTGCAGATATCCAAATATTTATATTCAATCTAAAGTCTTTATGGATGTTATTGATAGATGTTTAAGAAATGTATGATGGTTTTTAAAACACAGGAACAATTGGAAATTTGCTTCCAATCAATTGATCAAAATATTGATTTCTATATGACTAATTTTAAATAATTGAAATATGTTTCTATTAAGTTGAAATATCAATATATGAAGTTGGACTCGTAGAAATTAGTTTTTGATAAATGTCATGGTAACTATTATTTATAATTATATATTTTAATATGCTAATGAAACAAAGTTATAAAATGTACTAATGTTTTTTTTTTTTTTCAAAAAAGTGCAATTTTGTAAGTGAAAATGATTTGTTTTAGGAAGGTGGAGTCCAGTGGTCTCAATATTTTTAAAAATAAATGAATTTTTTCTAATAATTTTTAAAAATTAATTTTCAGAAAATGTTGTCAAAATTGATTCAATAATTTCCAAAAAATAGTTTTTGTCAGTGAAAATTGATTTGTTTTAGTAAGGTGAGTTTCAAAGTAGTTTTCAAATTTTTTGAAAAAAATATCAATTTTCTAAAAACCATTTAACATTTTTCAAAAAATCAAAATGCCAATAAATTTCAAAAATTAGTGCTATTTTGTCAATGAAAATGATTTGTTTGTAAGTAAGGTAGTGTCCGTGGTATCAAAATTTTGAAAAAAATCAAAATTTTCTAAAAATTTTAACATTTCCAAAAAAATGTCAATAAATTTCCTAAAATTTGTGCGATTTTGTCAGTGAAAATTGATTTGTTTTTAGGAAAGGTGGTGTACAGAAGTTTCAAAATTTTGAAAAAATAAAATTTTCGAAAAATTTGAACATTTCCAAAATTGCCAAAAATTAGTGCAATTTTGTTAGAGAAAATTGATTTATTTTGAGTAAAGATTTCAGTAGATTCAAAATTTGAAAAAATATCAAAATGTTTTAAAAAATTCAAAATTTCCAGAAAAGTCAAATTGTCAATAAATTTAAAAAAATGGTGCAATTTCGTCAACGAAAATGATTTGTTTATAAGTAAGGTAGTTTCCAGTGGCTTCAAAATTTTGAAAAAACATCTATATCTTCTAAAAATTTCCAAAATGAAGTCAAAATTGTCAAGAAATTGCAAAAGGTCGATTTTTTTAGATTTTTTAAGTGTTTTCGAATTTTGAAAATTGTTAAAAAAATCAAAATTTTAAATTACAATATTAGAAGTTCCAGCAACTTGCCTTAAGACAAGATGCCATCCACCACTAGTTGGATAAAATATTACAGATTTATAATAGATTGATAAATACAGACGTTTACAAAACGAATAACAAGAGATTCTCAAACAAAAAATATAATAGTCGAGTAATATAATTCCAAAAACCAGGTACCAAAAAATTTCATACAAAAACTCGAGCAAAAAACTTGATTCACCACGAACAATGGCCATGACTTGTTTACCTTGAAATACCAATTATATAAGACGTAGTTTAACATCCGAAATAAACAAAAACCCGTTAATTTACACGATTTTAGGAATGAAAACTATATGAATTCACGCATTAAAAATTATAATAAAATACTAGAGTACATTAATTAAAATTAATAAAGAACAGTGGTAGATTTTCCTTCGACCTACATAAATCAAAGAATCAGCTGATGCAAGAACGCACTGTAAACAAGATGTCAAAGCAAAAACAGATCAATACATTCCAGTCCATTTTACAAAAATATCGTACACATTATACACGCATATATAAACTATTTACTTAATTAACATGCTTAGAAATATAAACTAATAAATACAAAAAAATCACTCACCAAAAAATATCTATACCCCTTTATCCTTTAATGTTTCTTGTTCAACGTTCGATTGAAAACTGATGGCTAGTGTTATTAAATGGCCGATTTTATACTAATTATTTGTTATCGCAATGACGATAACCCAGTTGATTAAAACACAGCCACTGACAAATGCTGGCAGATGTTATGACTGACAAACTCCCTTTATTGTTAAAACTAGGATGACTGTACAAGAATAGAAGAAATCGCCATTAGTGTTAACGACGACTATGAACGTACTGTAAACGCGCAGAGGAGGGGATTCAGTGCTGCCATCTTGTAAAGGAAGAAAATGACAATTTTTTGAATAGTTTACAAATGGTTATTTAAATTATTTATAACATAAAAAGTTTGTTAAGAAGCAATTAATTGATTAAATATATATTTAGTTTTAATATTAACACAAATGTGATCTTAATACTAGTTTATAATTAAGGGATCTGTAGGTCCATCTTTGGGAGGAACGGAAAGTTAAAATTTCAAATTTCAAGTGTATTAAATTTATTATTTAAAATTACAATAATTAAAAAAAACAAGTTAAAAGAGACATTTGCCTTAAGGCAAAGGACTTTATGTAAAGGTATATAAGTTGCTGACGAGCAGTTTTCATTGAAATCTACGTTTAAAAGGGGGTCTTCCTATGTGACGGCCTGTTTTTAGGGATATTTTAGGAATTTTTTTCTACGACGAGTAAATATTTAGAGCTTCAAGTTTTTTATCATTTATTAACACATGTTTGGGCAGTATAAATATAAAATTTCACCAAAAAATATTCAGTCAAACTAGAGTTACAGCGCTCTGAACACCCCCGCCTCGAAAAAAAGAGCTCCCACTTCCTCCACGATTCCGGCTGATCGGCTTATCTGAAAAAAAAAATAAACGGCGTTTTAATTTGTGGGCTTAAAAGCACGAAATAACCTATAATCAAATAAATATAAAAAAATTGGATTTTTGATAGACATTTGAAATAAAAGTTGCAAATTAGGCGTTTTTTTTGTTATTTTGCTATAAAAAAATTCATTCCATGCGTTTAAATATATTGTGCCCTGTAAATTTCGAATAATTCGGTCCAGCCGTTTCTGGGATACAATCGAGGGAAGTTTGAAAAACACAGTTTTGAGAAAAACGCGATTAAAGTTTCTAACTGCCAACTCGGCGCTCCGAACCGCTCTTTCTTTTACCTGCTGTATCTTTAAAACGACTTCGAATTTTCTAAAATCGCTTTACTACCGTATTCTAGACATGTTAAGGAAGCAATTTATGAAAAACAAATCGATTTTTTCAACCCATCACATAGGAAGACCTTCTTAATATTGTATTTAATTGTAGATCTCACTTTTTAGTTTAGGCATTAAAATCTACAGTTTCTTTTTGTTTTCGCTAAAATGTTTACAGATACGGACACCAAAAATGATTTTATGTTACCATTTGAGTTGCCACTATATTATATAATGAAAATGTATCTATTTTAAAAATGTGTAAAATTGAAACCGTCGCAATTTTCAAATAAAGCGCCTCTTGTTCTGTTGCCAACTTCTCATTTTACACTGCAATTGACAGCTCATCACTGCATACACAACTAGCGCGACCGGCGGATTAAAATGTAAACAAAAAATTAATGGACGCGAATGACGCGATCTTTATTCGAGTGTGCTAAAATAAGTTGGATTACAGCAATTTGATTTGATTCGTTTTGCAATTTCAAGGCGAAGTTAAGATGATTCTATTACAATGACAATCGTGGCGCGTATTGCAAGATAAAGCTTATGAATTTATTTTTTGTAATATTGTTGTTTGCACGGTTCGATGAAATACATGACTTCATGTATGAATTTCCCAGTAATCTGCGGCCACAATGTCACTGGCCGCTGACTATGATGGGCGGACAGGCCTTATGAAAATGCAACTTTCCAATCCCTTAATTTCCGTACAAACAAACACGACACCGAATTTATTGCTGGCAGGTGATTTCAATGATTTATTATCTGGCTTCCCAAGTCCTATGAGTGAAATTGCACCTGACGAATTGATACCGTCTTTTGCTAATTTTATACACGATTTAAGCAGCTTTTCATTCGAGGATACAGTCAGCGCTAATACTATCGCCATGGAGCACAGTTATTCTAGAGCTTGGAACTGGAGGCCAGAAACTAACACCTTCAAGCCTGCGAGAAATTTGCTAGTACACAGACCACCTGCTTGTCCTGGATGCCATGAGGAATCTGAAGACCCTTATATAGATGTAGATGGTCCTCTGAGTCCCCCACCCCCATTACCTTATGATGTTGAGAAAGGTAGATTATCTATGAATGAAATCGAAAACAAAGTTGAATACATTACCAAGTCTGAAGATGATGAATGGGAAGATAAAATTGATCGTAAACATTGGAGTGCTAATGAGAGAGCTTATTTTGAACGGTTGAAGACTATTTTAAATGATGATTTGGTTGCAAGATTGACTGTACACAATAATCGAAATGAACCGGTGCTCAGAAGATCAATAGTGGATCGATCAGTATTGAAATTCAGACGTGCTTTTAGTACCATAGGATGGGATATGAAAATTCTGCAGGGGATGCATAATGTGTTTATTGATCACTTGAACAAAAGACTGCTATCTGTTTATATAGACATTTTACAGGGTCTTAAAAGCAAACTACCTGTTCTTGTTGATAAATTAATGTTTAGTAGTATTTTTAGAAACGGTGCGTGTTATGAAGGACTTGTTGATTTACTGAAAAAGCCTTGGAATCCTTTAGATGATAACATTATTAATAGTAAAACTAAAAAGATACCAAATAATCCTATATTTTTTGTGTGTCCAAGCTGTCCACAAGTTAACTCAATGCTACCAAGTCGATATCAACAATTAATGTCTTTTTTAAGTGCCATTGCAACAGTTGAAAATGTGTCATTAAATCTAGGTTTCTCATCATCTCGGTTTACACTTACGCAAGTAGTTGAACATATGCTGGCGACCTCCAGAACACGGTTACAAGAAGTTAAATCCGAAAATCCGGATAGGCCTATTATACTTATAGGTTTTCATAGTGGAGCATCATTAGCATTCCAAATTGCACAAACTGAAATGGTGACTTGTATTGTATGCATTGGATTTGATATTCACACAGCAGAAGGTATGAGAGGAACTCCTGATGATATTATTTTAAATATTCCATGTCCTATTTTATTTATAATGGGGGAAAATTCTGCAAGATCACATCCTGAGGAAATTGAGAACTTACGAGAAAATATGAGTGCAGAAACCTCCCTTATTATTATTGGAAGTGCTGATGATTCTTTAAGATTGAGTTGTAATAAAAAGATTTATGAAGGTGTTACACAGCCTATGGTTGATAGGTGTATTATTGACGAAATAGCAGATTATGTGACATCTATACTACTTAATCCGTATCCTGATGCTACAACAAAGCAAAGAACGAGTTATATCACTAATTATAAACAATCCTCCATCAAAAAACAATTTCGAACTAAAAAGATATCAAAACGTAGGTTTTCTAGTGGCAGTTATTGTGATAATGACCTTAAATTTGAACCTCATCCTAAACGAGTTAGACCTGTAGGTCGCCCCAGGGGATCATCATCCAAAAACAAAATTAACCTACAAATGGATAGCACATTACATTATTCAAACCTTGGTAATATCACAGTGAGTTCTTTGGACGAGTCACCGGCTAATTGTAATAAGGTAAACTATAATCGTCAGAATAATCATGTAAAACATCGTAATGCATTGAATGAGTTTAATGAAATGCAGCAACAAGATGTGATTGATAGAGCGGTAATGAGCATATTACCTGAAATATCAGATGATAGTCAAACGCCTAGAAAAGTTCTCACACCAATGAATGATACACTGGCAAGAAATGAATCATCTTTGGTTATTACAGATCCAAATCATCCTCCAAGAATAAAGACGTTTGATTCATCAAAGTATAAGTTGTCAACTTACAATGCAAGTTCTAATTCTAATAAACTTGTATTGTCTGCGAATAATTTAAGTCAAAGATTCAAGGGTAATGCTAAGTTAGTCAAGATGTATTTGCCGCAAAGTTCTAATGTATCCAAGCCAGGAAAGTCTTCAAATGCATTGAGTACGAAGCCTTCAAATGACCAACTAGCTGGTACAAATATTTTAGATATTCCCATAGTTTTTGCAGATAACGACGGTTACATTAATGAACCTTTAAAAGTGGAGGATAATACTTCCCCACAAGTGAGTACTACAAAAGTGAATAAAAAGCCTATTAAAATGATTGTTTTAAACAAAAGTTCAAAACCTCATCTACATAATTTTAGTTTAAACAGTGATACAAAGTTATCGGCGAGTCAAAAATCAAGTGCAAATAACAATAGTGATAATAAGTACCCTAAAATATTATTTAGACAGTCGCCTGTGCAGAACAGTGTGCGTTTAACAACAACCCAGTCACAGCAAAGTGTATCTTCATCAATAGACTTCAAAAACGTGGATTTAGAAAGCAAACTTGTGGCGAATAAAGTATTAAAAACAATTCCACCTGCAGTTAAACAAATTACACCAATCGGTGAGTCTGTGTCCCCTGCAAATAGTGATATCAAGAACAAAATACTGCTGACTGTCGGATCCAGAATGTCGGTGTATAAAAGTGGTGACAAGGACAATAACGATAAGACTACTGTAAAATCTCCTATTATCTTTCGACCCGGTACACAAATCAAAGCTATACCAATGCTACAAGCCCAAAATATCTTAAATCGAAACTTTTCTATTAAGAAGAATCCAAAGTGTAACTTTAGCCCTGGACAGAAGGTGACCCTCCAACAGATCAGTTCCAAAGACAATAGTGACGCTTAATTACATATATACAGTAAACTCATTTGTGTGTATAAATTGTATATATGATAAAATTGTCTGATGATATGAATATTTATATGTTAGTAAAGGAATTTAAAAACTATGTTAATTCATTCTTTGTTCAAGAATAAATGCTTCTTTTCCTAAGACTGTGGTATTAGTTATTGTTAAAGAAGTAAATTCATAATAGGAATCTATCTTGTAAGTAACAATATCACTGTTTAAATTATGACCAATGTAACTTTGAGTAATTTGCTAATACTATATATAATCATTTAACAAACTCTTCATCATGCAAAAAGCACAATTTTATTATTTGTGAGATTAAAAAATTTATCTTTGAAATATTTATTTGCAGCCAAATAGTCGAAATAAAAAGCAAAAAATAATTATCTTTGCATTATGTACGTTTCGACACTATGTGTGTCATCATTTATTCAATATTTAAAAAAAAAGGTATTTTTTATTTTAAAAAATTAAAAAAATCTAAAATTTTATTAACTTCCCGTAGGGCAAGTTATAGTACATAATCGCAAAAAAATCGAAAATGAAAATTTTTATATATCTTTACGTTTCAGAGGTTTCTGAACATTTTGGCATATCTTAGAAAAAATGGATGTATGTGTGTGTCTGTATGTGTGTTCGGATACAAATTTTCATCGACGATTTCGGGAACACGGTTGAAGCGATTTGAATAATTCAAAAAACATTCGATTCGTATTGATAAGGGGACGTGCTGATTAGTTTTTGGCGAAGGCAGGTCTAGCCGTTCCGAGGCAAAAAGGGCCAAAAACGGTAACTCAGTTTTCAAGAGAACGGAGCGTCCGATTTTAATAATTCAAAAAACATTTCACTTGTATTAACAAGATGAAGAACTGATCAAATTTTCATGAAGGCAGGTCTAGCGGTTTCGGAGATCTAGTAAAAAAAGTAAAAAAAAAATGCCATTTGGCGGTCAAGAATGATCATTAGACATATGCACATTAAATTATCAGATATTTTATAGAGATTTTAACAATAACAATAACTAGTGGGGCGCGATGCCATGCGCCCCACTAGTTATTATAATTTTTTCAAAAATACCTTAAGTTATAAAAGTTTTTCTTTCAAAATTATCTCCAGTCTAGATGCCATTCACGCGTAGGTCTAGTTTTGGTAGTATTATTATATTGTCTAGTTTAGTAGTATTATTATATTGTCTAGGGGTCTAGTTCTATACATACACTCATAGATAAATAAGTATAAAGTCCTTTATTACAGCCGCTTCTAGAAGAATTCGAGACCCCAGAACTAACTCTAAAAGAAATGGCTGAGCAGATAGTAGTCTACAAACTCGCAGGAAAACACGAAGCAGCCTTCAGGCTGCAGGAGCAGATGACCCTGCTGCAGGGGCGCTTCTAAGAAGTTCAAGACAAATTCAAGCAGTTCAAGTCTCCTGGTACAGCTATTGAGACACGCCTGACGAGGGCGCTGCGGGAGCTGAACGCTGTTAGCGATGCTATTTGTTTGCTGGAACTGTCGTCGGAGGAGCCGGAGGCTATCGACGGACAACTTAAACACTGCCTGGTAAGGGGTAATGGATAGGGGATCAAGACCTTTCGTTTGATACCCCACATGCCTATATTTGAAGTAAAACTTTCCGACCTATGTTCTGCAACCCATTGGTCGGCTTCCGTTACATCCCTTGTAACTTTTGAACGGTTCGTCCGATTTGAGGGAAATATTCGGTAAATTTGTTCTAAACTCAATGATCTACTCTTTCTTATAACATATCATAACTATATATCAATTTGGTATATTTCAAATAGAAAAATGATTTTACAAATAGTTTATACGACATATTGGCTTAGTTAGTATGATATTTGTGTAGTGCTCGACTGCTCGTCGAGACCTTTCATTTGATACCCCACATGCCTATATTTGAAGTAAAACTTTGAGTTAAGTCCTGTCTTCAGGTGTCGGCGTTTTACACTTCAGTTTTATGTTTTCTATGATAAGTTTATTATTACCGGGACAGCGCGTACGCAGTCCCGACTACCAAAAATTACGCGCCCGAGTTATCCACATTAGGGACAATCGCAGGGGTCAGCCCAACCTAGGTGCAATGGAAGGGCCTCGCCCTGGGGGAACCGCCTTAGTGATCACGGTAGCCCCCACGCCAGGTAAGTATGCTCTACTGTCGAAAAATCGTTGCCTAACCGAGAACGGTCTATGTTTCACCACGTGCAGATATAATAATAGTCTGAGCTACGCGCAGACATCTGTTAGTACGCAACATAACACCGGGGAGCGGTTCTACGATACAAGAACATAAGCGGAAAAGCGGAACTAGTGGGGCGCATGGCATCGTGCCTTAAAGCAAATTGCTGGAACTTCCCGTACCGTAATTAAAAACTTGATACGGAACCCAAAAAAAATACACAAAATGTGTGCACATTATTAAATATTATTGATGTACATATGTCCAATAAACATTTTTGACCGCCAAATGACATTTTTTTAACATATTTTTATTGACAGTCCATAACCGCTGGACCTGCCTTCCCAAAAATTTAATCAGTTCTTCATTTCGTCAATACAAGTAAAATGTTTTTTGAATTATTCAAATCGGAAGCTCCGTTCTCTTAAAAACTGAGTTACCGTTTTTGGCACTTTTTGCCCCGTATCTCCGAAACGGCTAGACCTACCTTCGCCAAAAACTAATCAGCACGTCTCCTTATCAATACGAATCGAATGTTTTTTGACTTATTGAAATCGGTTGATCGGTGTTCCCGAAATCGTCAACAAAAATTTGTATCCATTTTTATTGCATGTCTAATTGTCTTGACTTAAGAAAAAGTGCCACTTACACCTAGTTTTAAATTTGTCATCCTGACTATTCACAAGCATGAATATATCTTTTATCTAAAAATAACCTTATCTTTATTTTATCTTCCTACTTTTTATTCTGTGCAATTAATTTACGAGATAATTGTAACTGATGTCTGTTTTATTATAAGATCGTTTTTATAACATTATCACTACATTGCAATTATACTAATTGTGATATTGATAAAGGAAAACTCGTATCATGTTATGTTATCATCTTACACTTTAGATAATACATTTTATCATGGCGAAAATTTAAAAACCGTTAGGAAGATATAATATTTTGAAAATTGTGGTGATTAGTTTTTGATGAAGATCAGCCGGGCCATTTCTTCGTAAAAAAGTTCATAATCCGACGATCGTCTTAAGGGGGCTTGATACTATACATATGAAAATATATAGTTTAAGAATTCGTTGAGAATATACAAAAATGTAAACATGATCTCGAAGGATTTTAGGGGGATGGAGGGGTCTAGTAAGATATCACGTGTATTTATTTTTTACCTAAATTAAAAAAAAAATCAAAAATTTTACGATATTTTCGTAAATTCGAGAAATTTTACTTAACTAAAAATACACGTGATATTTAGTGGGGGAAGGGTGAATAATTTTAAATATCACAATGTATCACCAGGGAGTGTAAGGGGTCTAAAATTCTATCACCTGATTAATGGACGCCTCCTAAAATATTATAGTCCTAAATGATTGAACTATAAAAATCAAATAAAGTTTCGAACAATGATGATGTCGAAGTATCGGCAACTTGCCTTAAGGCAACATGTCACTAACACCCAGTTTATTATTATGTTTGTATTAACAAGTTTTTTACAATAACAAATCATGTCAGACGGAACGCAGTGATCTGTTTTATTTTAGCAGAGATAATTATAGCAATTAGTTAAAATCTTGGCAACTTTATATACAAATTAATCTATAAGCAAACACGAATCTATAAAAATTAGAGACCAAACGGCACGTGTCATTACGTTTACAAAAATTAATTTTTGATAATATTTATAAGAATTAATTATCTTATGTATTCCATGTGATGAATCTAAATTGAAATAGATATAATGTGTGGTGTTTTTCACATAGTGAAAGATATATGAGGAAATGTTTTTGAGCATTCATCCAATAATAAAAAAAAGATTAATGAAGAATAACGTCTTTAATAAAATAGTATACGTTTTGAGTCCTGGTTTGACTCATCTTCCAATAAAATAAAAAAGATTTGTAAAGGCTGCGGTTTTGTGGTCAGACCATGTTGAAGTCTTTGGATACAAAATGATTTTATTTTTATTTATTTATTTACTTTATGTTAATATCAATTGTATAACTATGTGTATATATCAAATAGTGCTTAGTCTCATTTTTGGAATTGTTTGATTTATATGCACTGAAGAGTTAAACCAGGGCTCGAAACGTATGCTATTCTAATAAAGGCTTAAATAATTTCTTTTCACTATTGAATGATGCCCAAAAATGTTTATATATATATATATATATATATATATATATATATATATATATATATATTCAGCATATTTTAAACAAAATCACACCAGAAAAATCACAATACATAATATTAAAAAACATTCTTTCAAAGAAACAGAAAAATAAAATAAGATATTTAAATAAAAGTTGAACAAGAAATTTTGGATTCTTATTTCGCTAGTCATGTTATCAACTACTCGGTACATACATAATTTTCTTGTTTAATTTTTATTTAAATATTTTATTTTATTGTTTTGTTATTAAAATAATGTTTTTTAATATATTTTTTTTTTTTTTGTCATGTGATTTTACAGCGTCGAAACGTACAAAATAAATAGTTTGATTATTTTTGTTTTTCATTTCGATCAAGGGAAAAGTTTACTTTGCCTTGATTAGTATTGCTAATTTTATGTTTTCCTGATGTTTCAAGTCATTCTGAATCATTTCAAAGAAGTGTAAAATTTTTTATCTCGTTTTAGCAAAAGTCTTAAATAATGTTGAGGATTGAAAAACTGTTTATCATGTAGTCAAAATATAATTTGTAATATCGTAGAAATTCAGTCCAAAGTTACTTGAAAGCGTTTTTTTTTTAATAATTTTGATTATTTCTGTGCGCAAAAATGTTGTGTATTAAAACTGATGTTCTTTTTAAAAATATAAATATATTAATTTGTAAAAGAATACATACCTATATTTTTTACAATTTTATAAATAATTTTATATATATATATATATATATATATATATATATGTATATACACATTTATATTTAATATTATATAATAAAGTTTTATTCTTCATAAAGTTTTTGGTCAAAAACCAATAAAATGTATCAGAAGTGACAAAATAAATATGATCTACTAATATTTACAATAAAAATTTATGCATGTCAAATGAATTAAAATTTTGCAAGATATACAATAAATAATTTATATGTACACATAAAAACTAATAATTGTATGACCAATGATATACTATATCATTTATGGAAGACACCTAAGCATGGTCCTGCTTTTGCGATAAGGCTACTTGTGGTGTTTCATATTGCCCCTTTTCTTTACTCTCGAGAGTCTTTTGCAAAACACTTTTGTGTGTCCCCATTCTGTCCTTAAGGACAGTAAAGTACAAAATGCAATGTACAATGCAGCAACATAAGGCCATTATTGAAAAAACTTTAAAAGATAAAGCACCTCCAATGGATTTCATTAGAAATCCACCTATTAAACTGCCGATTGAAAATCCAAAACCATCATCCATACCTGCAACAATACCTTGAACGGTTGCTGAAGCTCCTTCTGGTGCCACTGCACTCGCATAGGCAACAATTGTTGTGTAGCACAATGCGTAGGTTGGACCTTGCATGAAGAATTCAATCGGCAACACCCACCAGGGGTTAGATACGAATGATATGAGTCCCATACGTAAAGCGTAGCAGAAGAAACATATTGTTAAAGAATGACCATAACCGATTTTAGATAAAATTTTACCGGATATTAAAAAAAATAAAACCTCTCCTCCAAAAGATTCAGCAGCAATTGTTAAGCCTTCTAGTAACTTGATGTGCTGATGATAACCTGCTATTTCAGCTAACTCTTCCATGTACCAAAACAAATAATAAATTATAAAAGAATCCATTACCCCGGCCATTGTCGCGAAACAAATAAAAATAGCAATGTGTCTCTGTTTTAACAGTTTCCATACTTCACTCGTGATGCTGCTTGGAGTACTTAAATCAGGTAACCGTAGTTTCTTACAGCCTATTAAATCAAATAAAGTAAATGCCATCATTATAATAATTCCTGGTAAATAATCTTTGTACGGCTTTCCTTCTGAGTATTTGTCTATAGCAAAACCACTTAACAGGGCTGTAATGCCGTATCCAATGGTGCCCCAAACTCTCTGTTTCCCATATTTCATTTCACCACCATTTCCTAAAATATCGAAACATATAGCATCACTTATACAATTAGTAACATTAAATGCAATTGTTCCCAACGACATGAGAATAACAAACAACCAGAACGTAGGTGTTCCATATAAAAAGTAGTCTTCGTGTACTATTTGTTCACAAACATATTTACAATCATAAGGCTTATCACACTTTTGAGTTTTGTTGACACAAATGTTGAAACTATTTTGATCGTGATATAAGGATGCATTAAATTTGTTCGTCAAATTATCAGGCTTGAGATCAGGACAAGAATAGTGGCATGACACATCTTGTAAAAGTGCACCAGCAGTATTAGTTTCATTACATATTCCTATCGGGCATTTACTTGCATTTATTTCTACAGTACCGTTTTGCCACAAACTAGTCAATTCTTCAGTCGGAGCAGGCAAAAAATACAGTAATCCAAAAGAAGTACACATTGTCACAATTAAACTTAAAAATATAAATTTTCTCAAACTTTTAAAATAATCAGCTAAGAATCCTACAACAGGTTTGGCAATCATAAATAATATTGGCAGAATTGATGTAACAATGCCCATAACTGCCGGTGAGACCCCCAATTGGCGTCCGAACACGTTCATTTGAGGTAGCAGGGGCCCCAGAGCAGCCATGAAGCAGAAGTAGTGAGCCTTGATAGGCAAAAGTTTGTAGTTTACCTTCATCTTGTTAGTTAAATGTATGTAGTCTGTTGGCTTGACGCGCGTTTGAATCCAATTGTCAGCTAATCATGATATTCCAATTATTGCACTATTCCCGCATTCCACCAAATTAATTTTTCACATCAATATAAAACTATAGTGTGGCCCAATATTACGTCAGTAATATCGAATTGGCAATTAAAAAGCGATTCTTATTTAACCTGTTCGGAAAGGTTAAGATAAGCATAATTAAACTGTTCATCAAAGGAGCAAACAATTGATTCAATGTCGCGTACAGATTAAATTTGATAAAGCCTTCTTCACAGATAAGATATATAATCTCCATGTCAACATTATCTAAATAATATGCAAACACGACGATGTACAAAAGGAAAAAGTCAATGTCGTTGATATTTGTCTACATTTTAGGAAGTTTATTTTGACATTAATAGACTTTAACGGTGGCGCCATCGAGGGTCGGAATTTCGTTGCGGAAATAAACGAAACTAGTTAAGAATGATAACCAGAAAAACCGGATATAAAAAGAAAACTGTTCCCTTTTTATATTCCTTTTTGAAATAATGGAAATATTGTTATATTTATCATTTAATTTATATTTTATGGGTTATGTGTCCCAATTCACTCAGAAATCATATCGCAGCCAAATTGTAAAACAACGAAATAACATAAATACTAGTGATGCATGGCAACGTGCCTTAAGGAAAATTGCTGCAACTTCTGGTACCGTAATTGAAAATTCTTAAAAACTGTAATTTTTGTTTTAATTCTTTAGTGAATCGGACTTTTGAGAATACGCAAATTTTGATAGAATCGACTTTTTGAGAGTTTAATTGTCAAAAACTCAAACTGTTCAAAATGTGCAGAACATTTGTTTGAAATATATAAGCATAGATAAAAGAAGAGTATATAAGTAAACTTCGAACATTATAATTCTCGGTGTGGAACAAAAGAAATAGAGACAAAATTTGTTCTTATTGTCAGTTCTTAACTGAATTGCCATTTTTTGCCCCGTATCTCCAAAACGGCTAGACCTGCCTGTCTTTGCCAAAAACTAATCCACACGGCTCCATATCGATAACAATCGAATATGTTTTTTAAATCATTCAAATCGGTTACACTTGAAATCGTCGACGAAAAATTGTATTCGCACATACATATATAAAGAAATACAAAAAACTATTAATTCAATAAATATTGCAATATGATTCCAACCCTTGATTTTCCATAGAAACTGATCTTTAAATTGATGCTATTAATGCTCCTTATCAACATTTGAGCAGACGATTATTTTATATTGCAACAATGAACAAGGCAATGACTTGTTATTATAATAGATAAAATTATATATATATATATATATATATACACGTATATATATATATATATATATATATATATATACATATATCTCACATTGATTCAATATCAATTAATAAATACAAGATCATTGACTTCGGTAAAAAGTTATTGAACATGCAGTTTAAATATATATGAAATTTTTTTAAAATAAATAAAAAAGATAAACAGTCAAGCAAAATAAGAAGTTCTTGTTTTTGCCAGAAAACTCGATTTGATAATTTTCGTTTTCAAAACGTTTTCTCAACGTTTCAAGTCATTCTGAGTCGCGTGACTCCATAATTGTAAAAACGATGTGTTTTGGTCCAAAATTTGACTTTTGGTCGACATTTTCTCAAAAACAGCTGAACCGATTTCAAACATTTAAAAGCCGTTCGATGTAACTCTATAAAAACTCGCTAAGATTAGTTTTTCGTCACAATCAGTCAAGCAGTTTCTTTGTAATTATCAAAAAAGTGCAAAAATTTTTGTCCACTGTTTCTGAATCATTTTTGAAAAATCAAAAGCTGATCTATAAATTGAAACGTGCTATTTAAGTTTTAAAGAATGCTTTGTGTAAATAATCTACGGGAATTTATATAACAAATTAAAAAAAAAATTTGATCTTTATCAAAGACGACCACCAGTGAATCTAACGAAGTTCACGTCTTTGATCTACAGTTCACTTCCCCGCCGCTTAAAACTTATAGCGCTATATGACACCTTCATAATTTGTTGTCATTCTGGTTCAGTGTGAAGAAAAACTCTCAAAAATGGCTGACGCAAGTGTAGATCCAGAAGTTATTAAATTTAGGGCCGAAAGAACGGCCAAATTGAGGCACCAGTTCCTGAAAGAAATGAACAATCCGCATCGCCATGCAGAAGGCGGTAGCCTTGTAAGTAGGACGTTATTTTTGCAATAGCAAAAAGTTAACCTAATTGTTATGTCATCTGTCATAGTAATAATACACATTCTTAAAACTTTACAGAGTAACATTCCTATTACTTATGTACGCATTTGTGATAATGAATTTGAATCTCAACTTTATAGTTTGAAAAAGCTATTCTAAAATATTTATAATAAACATTACCATTGTGTCATCTTTGTTTTCGGTATCCGTCTATGTCAATGCAAGTGTTAATTCCTTAAAATTTTTGTGCCATGAAATTGATCTGACCGAGCGCATAAATCCTTATTTCAATTAATTTGTGCATGCATTAAGTTTGAATTTAGACTTTATATGCTGAAAATATGTTGAGAAAATATTGTTTAATATTAAATAGATAAGTATTTCATTCGTCTAAAGATAGATTACAAAGTTGCATTAGTAAATGTTCATGTATACATGCCTTAAGTTTTTCAAGCTATCAATTCCTTTTACATTTTGATATCACAAAGAGTAGTTCTTTATATATGAGCAGTTATTTTTTATGATTTCCTCTTTTTCAGTTCGATCCTGCCATTCAAAGGTATATGTCCAAGAAAGTAACATACTGGGACAACTTTAAGCCAAATTTTAAATCAGCTAGAGCATTTATGCTTTACACTGTAATTCCTATTGCAGCCTTTGCTTACTTTTTAGACAAAGATAGATCCGCAAAAGAACACATGTACAGAACAGGACAAGTAGCTTATGCTGACCGAAGATTCAAATATCAATAAATGATATTTGGATTTCTTATGTACATAGTGCTTTAATTATATGAAATAAAATAGTAATTGAGATATTGATAAATTGCTGGTTTATTTTTTATAATTATAAGAAAAAAATAGTTAGGTTTATCTGTCTTCCAATTGTTTATCTCGTGCTATCACTGATTCATCAAATTTCACCATGTATGTTGTTCCATTGTGCCAGTGAGCTGAGACTTTCGCGGGCTGGAAATTTATTATATTATTTCCATACATAACTAAAAATATTTCATGTTTGTGATTGTGATACATACAAATCCACTTTCGGTTAAAACTGCTTCTACAATTCCAGCTGTAAAAACAGCACAATTCAAGGATCCTTTATCTTTTGGAATGCTTATGAACTTATTAACTAAAGCCTCTCGTTCAATTATATAATACGTACGCTCATCATCATTGGCATGTTCCAATTTATCTGCTTCTTTACCAAATAAATTCTACAAGAGTAACATTATGACTAATTTGAACACCACAAGCATTGTTTAAATAGAATGTTCAATTCTTAATACCTTCCAAAGGGTGGATTTTACAAATAATAGCATATTTAGTAGTTTAATTTCTCTTTTACAATTTCTTTCTCGAACAAAATATAAATCTATAAGGCGACTTCCAACATCCATCCCCAACTCTGATAGCCTAAAATATTCATAATTGAAAGTCTATAAAGCTATCTTTAAAAATTAAGCTGACAGAATAAAAATTTGTGTCTTTTGTAATAGTATCGCTTCATGATAAATAATTTTCAATGATATGTCTGAAAATCTTACAATATTTAATTGTAATAAATATCTGAAAGAATTACTTATAGTAAAGAAAGTAATTTAATTATCATTCCACAATTATTCCAGCAAATCCCTAATTTTCATATTCAACCAAAGATAAATAAATTAAGAGTTCTTAATAAATATTTGAAAAATATGATTTGACTTAATAAAATTATGTTTTGATACATGTTACATATATTTGGAGCCTTAGCAAGTAACACTAGAACGATAGATTTACTATTTCATAACATATTCCGTAATATTTGTGAGAGGAATACAAAGGACTGCCTCTATCCCCTTATTAAAATTAAATGCAAGTTAAGTCTACCGTTATCAATCTGTCGTTTTGTAGAATAAGATATTATAATTCAATATATATATATATATATATATATATATTTCCACCTACTTGGTTTGAAGTTCTGGCACAGTATAAACTCTATTTTGACTATATTGAACGACTTCTGAGAAAAGTAAAGCAAAACAGCTTAACGAAACTTCACCTCTTCCTCTACTCAGAGACTTATCCAAAACACTGTTTCTTATACGAGATGAAGTAATATTTAGTGACATTTTGTTGATATAACCTGGAAAAAAATCATAACTTAATTTTAACTGGGAACGGGATTTTTTTCATTAATCATTTGTACTACATTTAGAATATATTGTAATAATAGGAGAAAATAATCTGATGATTTTATATTTAACATTAAATTGAAGAGGTATACACAAAGATTTAATGCAAGTTAGCACAAAATATTTATGTTCAAGTCAAATACCCAGAAATAAGTCCTTTATATTAACTTACCTAATCAATACACAATTTGATAAAATAAAATACTATAGCACTATTTATATTCAATATAAATTCAAACTAAATTAATTTTCAACTTTCGAGTTGCACAGTTGACATTTTTGTGTTAAAGAATTTTGACGTTTACAAAAATGAGCAGCCATTTATAATTCAAAAGTCAATGATTTTGATTTTGATTTTCCAAATTAACGTGTGAACTAAATTCGTAGTATTTTACATTTATTTTAAATAACACAATAAGTACAAAATACAATTAATACGTATTACTGAATAATGATAAATGTTATTTTAAAATGACATGTTGACGTTTTCGAATGTTGCCGCCATCTATGAAAAGAAGTGACAGATCACTTTATTATAGGTTATGTTATTACTTCAATTGTGCAAATATTTCACAAGTAATTGTTATTTGTAAATAAATTAATTGTTATAAATATTTACGTTGTTATTACAAGTGCAGTGTGTTATATTATTATTTCCTTGTGTAAATAATGTATTTTTAATAACTAACTAAGTATTCAATATGAATCGTTTATCACTTTTCAAAAGATTCTCTTCAGCCCTAAATGGCTCAAATAAGATCATATTAGAACAATTATCCCACCGTGAAATTGTTCAAGTAAAAGGTCCAGAAGTAGCCCAATTCATGCAAGGCTTAATAACAAATGACATCAATCACCTCGCTGAAGGACATATGCCCAGTATGTATACAATGTTTTTAAATACCAGAGGCAGAGTTATGTACGATGGAATTGTGTACAGCACCCAAAACCCTGACACATACCTCATTGAATGTGATTCAGAAAGCGCTCAAATCCTTCAAAAACATTTGAAAATGTATAGAATAAGACGTAAAATAGATGTTGAAGCTCTTGGATCCGAATACAAAATATGGGTGCTATTTGATAAGACAAGTGTGAATGAATTATCAAAACCATTAACAATTTTGCGACAGCAATTTGCATGCCCTTGTGCTGATCCAAAAGAACCTGTATCGAAACAACATGAATTTCATGTTGTCAGAGATCCAAGACTGGCAGCTTTAGGATTGAGATTTATAACACAAAAAAATTACAATAGTGAAGATATTACAAAAATACTAGGGTTACCTGAAGATGTAGCAAATAAACCTGAATGCACTTACCGTATGCACAGATATCGCTTAGGTATTGGAGAAGGATGCAAAGACTTACCTCCTGAGTCATGTTTTCCTTTAGAAGCCAATGGAGATTATTTACACGCTGTTAGTTTCAACAAAGGATGTTATCTTGGTCAAGAACTAACAGCTAGAACATATCACACCGGTGTAATCCGAAAGCGTCTAATGCCTTTGTACTTGGAAAATGAACTACCTGCAACAAATGTTAATGATGAGGCTATAAATATATCTAATGAAGCAAAAACACCAGTCGGTAAACTTCGAGGAGTAGATGGTACTAATGGATTGGCATTGCTTCGGATAGCTCCAGCACTTGCAGCTGAAAAATTAGATGTTAATGGTGTAGTTAGTAAAACACAGAAGCCGGAGTGGTGGCCGAAGGAGGGAAAGACTATATGACAGATAAGGAAATAATAACTGAACTGAATAATAATCGGTTGTATGTATAAAAAATTTATTTATTATAGAAAATATATAAATTGTTAATAATAGGTAACATTTAACTTATATTTTAAATATATAAAGTTTATAGACTATAGAAAGAATATAAATAAATGTTGATAAATATATAAATAAGCATATTATTCCTAAGCTCTAATAAATAATTTAAGTTTATTATGAAATTGTGAGAAGTGTGATGATTTTATTCAAATGATTGAACTAAAAATACTAAATACTCATTTAAACATTTAATGCATTGTTTTCAAATTAACATATATTGCAATTTAATAAAATAATAGTTTAATTCACAGATTCCATATACATAATACCTATATATATTAGTTCATTAAAAGCATTAATTTATTTACATCTTATGCCATTTAAGGGGGTATTCTACTGTAGAATTTTGAAAAAATCGAAAAAAATTTTTTTTAATTTTTTCAAAGTTTAGTTATTCAAAAATATTCCATTAAAAGGATTTTTCAAAATTACTATTATTTCCTGAGATATATCCGTTTTAGTGACATGGCCTCGGTTCGGGTCCGACTCGTCTCAAAACTTTGAACGCGTTTTTCTCGGAACTACTTTTTTCGAGCTGGCGGTAAGGATATCTCGAGTTCTAATGAACCGATTTACTTCAAATTTGGAGAGGATCTTCTCTATACATCGCTTTATCGCATGGACCTTTCCCAAAACTGTAACTTTTCATTTAGTATTTTAAAAAAAATCGGAATTGTTAAAAAAAAACATGAAAAAAAATATTTTTTTTTAAAGCTGCCGCCACTCAAACAAAAAAATTTGTTTTAACTTATCCAAGGTTCATATGATAGCGGCATCTATAATAATTAAGAATCCATCTATTTTTTATGTTTCGGATCACCAGGAAGGTTGGAATCATGCACGCCAGGACACCCTGTTTTTTTTGAGCCCCCACTTTGACTGCTCATAACTTTGTGAATTCTAATTTTTTTCCTTTAATAATTTTTTTTATGTAATAATAAAATATCAATAAACAAATGATAAAAATATCGATAGTAAAAATATTATTTGTTTCCTTTATACAGCGCTTCAAAAACTGGGCTAAATTCATGCTTCTACAGTAGAATACCCCCTTAAGCATTTGCTTTGAATAATTAAATACTGATACTATTTTTTAAGGTTGAGGTTTTCATAATCCACAAATTTTTGTTCTTTATACAATTCCAAACTTCATATTATACAAATTAAATTCGTGTGAATCTACCTATTTATCTGGCAAGCTTGTACCTCATATTTATCAAATATAATAAATTGGTACTGTTACAAACATTATTAAGGATCCAATTGTTACGAGTCTACATTCATATGAGTTGGTAGTACCGAATACTTAAACTATCACTTTACAATATGATTTTTCAATGACTAAACTCAAATTTAGTCAACAAAGATCTGAATCCCTGAATGTTTTACATTTTCAAATTACACCTGTTCTTCGGTGGTATCAGCCAGCTGCTGCAGCAGGCATCGCTGGTAGCGCAGCACCTGCTTCTTTTCCCGAAGCCAGCGCTCGCGTTCCGACTCGAACTCGCAAATTCGAGTTGATAACTCGGCACGTAGCCTTTCAGATTCAGCACATTGGGAATCACTAAATAGAAATTATAGTCACAAAAAAATAAATTCAGGTAATTTTATTCCAATTCTTACCCTGGGCATTCAAAACTTTGTTTCGTGTCGTGCCGGAGACGCATTAGATCCAGTTCACGAGCTGAGAGGGCATTCTGTAAAAGAATAAATAAATATACCATAGACCCACATTTATTATACTCTATTTATAAGTATCAATTACCCTGGCTTCTTTTAATTGCTGTCGCAGCAGGGCAGCTTCTCCTCTTATCCTGCCCTGTTCCCACAAAGCCTCCTCCAGTTTATTCCTCAATGTGGCTGCTTGTTCGCATTCATTACTTTTGCAAGTAATTCTGCTGCAGCTACTATTCCAGAATTTATCACAATCTTTTGGAGACTTGGTTAAGCAGGATTCTATTTTTGCGTTGTTGAATATCTCACTGGATATCATGTTTTCTTTCGCATAGTTCTTTATATTTTCTATATTCTTCTCAGTGACACTCCTGGAAAAATGATAATAACTAGTGGTGTATAGGAACGTGCCTTAAGGCAAATTGCTTGAAATTCTCGTACCGTAATAAAATATTCGAGAAATTTTAAACGTTTTCAAATATATTATTACAAATACTGTAACTATTTCATTATTTTTGCTATCTTCTTATATCTGAGCAAATCAAATGTAAATCATAAATCAATTTATCTCCAGAGCATTAACAATCGTCATTTCATCTCGAATTCAATTTCAAAAAAAATAGTTAATACCTAATTTACGCAAAATTGAAAAAGTGCTCCCGTATAGTCACAGTCTAAACGCATTTGCAAATAATTCTGTACAACATTTTCACTTATACTGTGCTTAGCTTGGCGGCATTTTCACCCTTTTCAATAGTTTTTTTTTCACAAAATTTGAAAAGTGAATATATAAACTAAATATTATAAGAAAATATATAAACAGTCTAAACGCACTTGGGTAAACATTTGTACCAGAGTGGCGCTTAGACTGTGCTTAGCCTGGGTAATTTCTAATCTAAAATTACAAAAATATTTTACGGAAAATAAAAAAGTGGAAAATTGCTCAAACGCAATTGTTTTGTCACTACAAGCAGAAAGTTTTTTAGATCATTCAAATCGGACGCTTACTTCACTCAAAAACTGAATTTTTTTGCACATTTAGCTCTGTATCTTCGAAATGGCGGGACCTGTCTTTGCCAAAAACTAATCACCTCTTCTCCTCATCATTACAAATTGAATGTTTTTTAGATCATTCAAATCCGATACTCCGTTCTCTCAAAAACTAGAATTGTATTTTCTGCACTCTTTGATTCATATCTCTATAACGGCTGGACCTGCCTTTGCCAAAAACTAATCAGCACATCTCCCTATCAATAGGAATCGAATGTTTTTTTAACCATTCAAATGGGTTGATCCGTGCGCCCGAAAGCGTGGACGAAAAAATGCGGACATATAAAACACACACACACACACACATCTATTAATTTTCTGAGGTATGCCAAAATGTTCAGGAACCTTCAAAACGTCGAGAAATGCAAAAATTTTCATTTTCGATTTTCGGCCCATTAGGGGAAAAAGATAATAGATTAGAGGAAAAAGATAATAGATATACAATAGATTATTATTATTACCTGTCACTATTTTTCCCCTGACTCCACTCCTCGCTAATAAACTCCCCATCGCCATTAATGTAAATCTTACTACTCCTGCAAACTCTGCTTCCTGCAGCAGTCACCACATCGTTTGTGTTATTATTCGACGCCCTGCTGCTGCCCACGCTGGCAACACTAATACCAGACGGAGTGGTCGACGTCAGACCGCGCGCTCCTCTGGCGGTGGCGCTGAGATCGTTTGCCGAATTCTCCACACCGGAAGCGAAACCGGAATCTGATGGAGATGGCGTCAGAAGTGGCGGTGATGTGGTTGGCGGTTGGCGCTGATGGTGAGGCGAGGGCTGGTTCTGCCAGGATACACTCCTGTCCAGTAAATTGTCATTAATCGTAATCATAAAAATTTATTTCTTTTATTTTTTAAATATATAGCCCACAGATTTCTTCCAAGAGGACTCAAAAATACAATTATTTTACATGATAAATAACAATTATAATATATACAAAATTACAATATATAGTTATTAACATAAAATGCTTGACATAAAATTACATATAATGCAGAATGTAACAATATTATTTATTTACAAAATAACATAAAATAATCAGATATTTGAAAAGAAAATAAAAAGGTTAACTTGTGCAGATGGACATTATTAGATTAGGTGAAGTGTTGTGAATATCTATTTCATTACTAATTAATTTAAAGTTAGAGGACATGTAAGTAGATTAGGCGAATTTAAGAGAGAATTAGATTTAGGAGTAGGATAATTCAAAAATAATTGTTAACGCATAGAATTGCCTTGGAACATTAAAGGATAGTTGGTTAAGAATAAGAGGACAGTCTATCTCTATAGCATTATTGCAAAGTTTAAATAAGAACATAATTGTACAGATAAATCGACGTGAGGCAAGAGAAGGAATACCAAATTCTTTTAGTAAAGTGTTGTGGTCAAAGCCACGTTCAGGATAAATTTTATATGTTTTATAATAAAGATATTTCAGAAATTTTCGATGAACCTTCTCTATCGCATCAGAGTTGATTTGATGAGGATACCAAATGATCAAACCATATTCTAATTTTGAACGTACAATAGAATAGTACATGCAAAGAAGTGCATTGTTAGAATTGAATTGTTTACAATTTCTCAGTATCAAATCTAAAGATTTATGTGCTCTATTACAAATATCAGTTATATGATCCGTGAAAAACAAACCAGAATCAAAAAGAACTCCTAAATCTGAAATTTTATTACATCTATCAATGCTGGTGTTAGAAATTTTATAATCGAAATGTATTGGAACGCGCTTATGTTAAAAACTAAAGATCTTGCACTTTGATATATTTAAATGTAATTTGTTATAGACACACCAAGAGTGGAAAGAGTCAAGTTGAGACTGTAATAATAAGCAGTCATCAATAGAATTTATTTTGAGATACAGTTTGAGATCATCTGCAAATAATAAATGTGGACAGCTAATAATATCAGATATGTCATTAATAAAAATAATAAATAGTAGTGGACCAAGAATGGATCCCTGAGGAACACCTAAACTGATATTTTCAATGTTGCTCAAGAATCCATAATCATATATTTCTCTTGTTAAAAATCAAAACTTACGAAATACGTCCATTATGATGATGGTGTCTCATCATGGCAAGCGTATGATTTCTTCCCGTCTGATTCTGGTTATTCCTGGTGAACAGCCTCCTGTCTAACGAATTGTGAAGACCTGGAGTAATTATTCTTATCGAATTCGATTCGTTGTTGGATTGACATCTTTGTCCGTTCGGAGTTGTCGTAATATCTGAAATAATTAATAAAGTAGGTGTGAGTGCCTTGAGTTTATATAATTACTAGCACTAGCACTAAATCTTAGTTTAGTAAGATTTTCTCAATATTTGAGCAAGATTTCAGAAAGATGTTTGTTATATTTTAGTTGTAATGAAGTCGAATAAAATTTAAATGAAGTTGGAACCAAGTTCAAATCTAACAAGAGGCTACAAGAATCCAATGAGAATCTAGTGAAAATTCAGTGACTCATTAGATTTAAACTAGATCCTTATTAGGTTAGTACTAAATTTATTATAAAACTAGATTATCCGACAGACTTTGTCCTACACCCATGTCTTTAATTTTTTAATATAATTTACTAATATCTACGTTTTACCTAAAAATAATAATTATTGTTTTTTAAATTACTCTTCACGCCAAAATGCACATACATTTATAATATGAGCAATGTTGAATGTAGAACTGCTTTAAATAAAATGATGAGTGTCAATTCCCGCACTATATTGGAAATTGAAGTCTTTTAAACGGTATAACATAACCAGAACCATAACATAACACTGGTACTTCATGTTGGATTAAATTAATTTAATTTTTAATTATTTAAGATATCCAAAATTGTATCTTAAACTTCTCTTAATCGATATTGTGAGGGCCGAATTGTATATGTATTCATCTTTTACTTCCCCATTTTCTGTTATGATGTAAAATTTTTACGAATTTTAAAAATATTGTGGAAAGATTAGTAAAAGATGCAAAGAAATTAATATTAGTATTTTATATTATTTTAATTTCTGGCACATCTCAGCTGCTTTTTGGCAATAATAATATAGACATTTCATTTTTCTTATTCATAATCATAAATGTTACTAGGATTCTAAAATTTCGTTAGATTGTTCTTATTAGATTACAGAATCCTATCAAATTGCATTCTCACTCAATTCGTATTGGTCAATGCTAATGTAAATCTAGCGAGAATCTAATAAAATCTTTGTAGAATCCAGTAAGAATCCAGTAACGAAATCCTACTATTTTGTTGTAAAATTGGACAAGATTCTGGCAAAACCTAATAAGACTTGTATGAAACTTACTAAAATCTGGTAAGAATCCTAGGATAAAGTTGCACGCACCTACGCACCTAATAAAGATCTTGTTCGAATCTAATAAGAATTTAGTTTGTACAGTCTAATGAGAATCTAATACGATTATGAAAGAATCTAACAATTTTCAACATTTCTGTTAAGAATTTAGCGAGAATATTATACGAATCTAGTGAGAATTCTTTTATTTACAATCTAATAAGATTATGACCAAAATCAAACAAGTGATTCTGACAAGAATATAGAGCGAATCTTTATGAGAATCTAGTAAGCACCTAATAACAATCTGAAAAGATTTTGGTAAAAACCTCAGCAGAATTCACTATGAATCTTATAACAATTATGACATAATCTTATAAGAATCTAGTTATGATCTGGTAAGATCAAAGCTAAAACCTGATTAGAATCTAGTTAGCATCTGTGTAAGATCTATATAGAATACTAAGAATTCTATGTAGATTCAATTACTTAGAATCTAATTTCAAGTTAGATTCAAAAGTATTAGATAAACAAAATTTATTTCAAAGATGAAATTTATCTATTTACCTGAAGAAAAAATGCTCAACTCCGCCGAACTGCTGCCAACCGGCGTATGGTATCTCCTATGTCCGCCAATAGTGTTAAAATGATTAATTCCTATCTGAACATTACTTCCCAATCTATTATTATTATGCAAGGATCTAGTGTTGTACGACGGGGTAGCAGCATTAAGGGTGCCCGATGAAAGGGCCGGAGCAGAAGCATACCGTTCGCCGTACCGAGACGCTACCAGGGACGCCATCTCGCCGTAGCCTGCTGCTGCTGCTGCGACGGTCGCGGAGACGGAAACCCAGCTCGGTGGGCGACGGGTCGGCGCAAACCAGCCGGAAGGGTACCCTGGGGTAATAAAAATATTGTGTAAACGGCATTAAGAATTAATAAAGGAGTGTTTAGTCTATACCTGTTGGAGTACGCCGCTGTGTGGAAGTATCCTCGGAGGCGACGCGTAGACTTCATCCGTTGACTGTGCCGCAGGTGAAGCACGCTTAGGAGCAGCGCTGGCGGTCCCTGACGCCGTCATCGCTGCACGCAGCGGATTTGCAAACTGTGACTCATTTGACCTGCGGAGGAAAATAATATTGTAACAATTTGTAAGAATATCCCGAGACTAATTGGAATCAACAATGTCTACAAATTCATATAAAACAAACTGCATAACAATCACAGTAATGCCAAGTACACAGCAGGTACGTTTTCGCCAGAATTCGGTACTGAGTTGCTGTTGAATAAACGTCCGAATCGGTGCACATTCGAGATGGGCTTATTATATCCGAAGCCGAATCGGTTAGGATTTGACTCCGCTTCAGAGAGAAGTTATATCCACTTAACAACTCCACAACTCCGGCAACTTTGAAACATAATACTTGACACAAATGTGTTCTCTAGTGTGTTGTTAACATAGCTAAGGATTTATTAAGACTTAGGAAATAGTTTACAAATAGTTCAAACATTTTTGTTTATTTTATTATAATAATTACTATTTTTTTGCATTTCAATATGCATACAAATCTCAAATTGACAAAAAACTTGGTAATCAAAATCAATTTTGTAATTATTTTTGAAGAGAAAACACAGAATTCTTTAAATATTATTATTTTCATATGAAAATAATGCAGTGAACATTATATATGAAATAAGAACAAATCTTTCATCGTATAATATTTTTCACAAAATAATAATACCTCACATTCTTTTGTCATTTCCTTTTCGAGAATTAATTATACATCAGGTAGTTTGATTAGCATACTATTACTTTTACACAAATATAAAATCATAATTGTGTAAGTTATAATATAATACTAAATATTTTTTAGCTGGTTGTATACCATTGAAAGAGCTCATTTACGGACAAACATTATCGTACACAGAATATAGAATACAAAATAGCATTATTTTCAGACATTATATATCTGGAAAATCCTAAAACTGGCTGGGAGACGAGGAAAAGACCACTTCTTTCGACCCAAATCTTTGTATTAGTAAAAAAATCTCAAGCAAATATCTGCACATGTTAACAGATTTAGTATCAGTTTAGGGAAGTCGGTTATGACAAAACCTGTGAGACAACTCCACTCGGATTCACTCCGAGGGAGAAGTTGTATCGGAGTGATAACTCCGAAGTGATAACTCCGGAGTGTGCTACCCATCTCTAGTGCACATCACAAGCAACAGTTTTTTCTGTAAGCCGAGTGTTGCCTTGATTTAACACTATAATTCCCTATCCCGAGGTGGTTTCTGGTCAACCATCAACCATCAACCATCTTCGTCGATCGTCCGTCAATATACCATGATTACGTAAAGATCAGTAACAGTCCACTGAACTAAGAATTATTCGCCACGCTCAACGAATGTGAGATTCTCCATATAATACACTTCGCGCTATATTTATATAAATCGTTGGAATATTTAAATTGCCTCATTTTGCATGTAAAATGAATGCCTATCAAATTGTTTTTAACAATCTAAGTGCTTTTGGATGAGCAGTCAATCGTTTAAAAATGTTCCCACAAAATGCCTATCGGAACCAGAAATTACATTTTGATGAAGCGAGAAAGCGTAGGAAAGAATTTTGATAACAGATAATAGTAATCGGTTATAATTAATAAGACATAAATCAAACTTATTTTATAAACAATTAGCTGTT